TATGATTTTTGCACCTTCTTTTGATTCGTTAACATTCTTACTTTTTCTCTTTCCTTTCTATTTTATAGCTTCATCATTTCAGTTCAGGTCCCAATGCCGATATACGTATTCTCCTTTCACTCCCGGCAGTATAGTGAAAGTCTTGCTGCACTCGCCCATTTACCAGGCTTCACGTTCACGGCACTTACCTCCAATGACTAAATATATTTAATTAACTATTAATTATAATTTCCCGAAAATAATAGGGTATTCGAACTCCGGTACTATATAAATATAAACTAATAAAATACAACCTTCGAATTTCGTAAAAAAATAAATAATACTTTAAATAAAAGCGCCCTCTATAATTACTATAGTACCCCGGATTTATTGGGTTAAGATTAGGACAATAGGGATTTAGAGATCCCAAATAATATTTTTACTAATAGTAGTATAATACTAATAACCTTTATTAATAAGGGCGTAGAATAAATTAGTGGATTTAATAATAATTAATATTAAAATTAGTCTTATTTCTATTTAGGTTTTAAATTCTTCTACTTTACTCAATACTTTAGGGGTAGGCTCTAGTACCCGACTTCGTACTAGAATTACTCTTTTCCCTAGTCCGACTCGGAATTAGAGATTTTAATTATTTGAAACTCTTTATTAAATAGCGGAGCTACCTAAATAGTTTAAATATATATTCCTTTACTTTAAGGGTTTATAGTAGGAAGGTAAGGGTATTTAATAATAATATAATTAGTAGCGCTATAATAAATATATTACCCTTTAGTATAGTACTTATTCCTTTCTTCCTATAATACCTATTTAATTTATCCTTTTTATTAGATAAAAGAGGAATTTTTACCCCGAGCACTACGAATATTAATTATACTTATAAGGATATTACCGTTAGTATTATATTAAATTCTAAAGGATAGGGTAGAAGGGGAGTTGTAAATCTAATATTAAGAATTGGAGCGGCCCGAGCCGGGAGTAATAAGAAAGTATATTTAAAACCGCCGGTTACTCTAATTACTATTCCGAAGGTAGCTTTAATAGAAGGTTCGGAATTCTATAGTTTTTTCGTATTTATAAATAATATTTTAGAACTATTCTATATAAATAAAGTAATTATTAGAAAATTTAATAGTAAAAAGGTAATTATTAAACTTCTTATTAATAGTATAATAGAAGAACCTTAATTTAATACGGCTATCCTAATTATAGCTACTAATTTTTAAAAGTTTGTTATTAAAATTAATAAAAAATTCGGAGAATAATTCGCTATCTTTCTACTTTATCTTAGCGAAGTTATTAAAAGCGTAATTTTAAGTATAATAAATACCGAAAACTTACCGGATCTATTCGAATAATTTAGTCGGATTTTTATTACTAAAAAGGGTATAAGCGGTTTAATAATTCTCTAACCGCTACTATTTATCGATTAGTAAGGTATTAAAGATTTCGATTTACACGGCATCGGGATTAATATATAAATTGGCTTTAAAATTTATATTGTACGTTTTAATTAATTTATTATAATAGAAAAGAAAGGTAGTAGGTTTACTATCCTATTTAAGGAATTCGAACGGCTTCCGTCAGTATAATTTATTAAAATCGCTATTAGATTCTTTATTATTACCTTCGTTAGTTTTAGACTTCCCTTTA